ATCTATCTATCTATCTATCTATCTATCTATCTATCTATCAATCAAACTATCAATTGGTGTAAGTTAATTTGAATATAATTAACAAATGAATGTTTATTTTGTTACCAAAATTTTTCCTCTCTGTTGCCATTTTTTTTTTCCCCTGTTTTTGATCATCACAAATTGCTGTTAACTGTAGTTTTGTGCAACAAATTTTGTCGAGCCTAAATGAACGTTGAAATAGAATTAATTGTAGGCAAAAAAAAAAACAAAATTTAAACATTTTCCAAATGCTTACTACTATAATACTGTTGTTGTTGTTGTTGTTGTTGTAATAAAAATCTACTTTTTTAGAAATCTAACGGTGATAGATTACAACTGATGCTTTGTCGTCGTTCAAGTATTTGTAGATGTTGAAAGCGGAAAAACAGGGTATTTAGTGAATTGTTAACTTGATCTGCATATATATGTGCTTTTATTTTGCTAAAAAAAAATTACGCTTAAGTACTACTATAGGAGCAGTAGTTTTAATTAAAAGAAAATTCAATGAACAGATTAGAAATTGAAGACGAGAGGACGACGGGACGGACAAAGGGGGAGTGAATGAGTAGATGGGAGAGGAAAAAAAAATAAATAAATTTATTGAACAAAGTGCTTAATTGTATGTACTGATACTAAAAGCTTAGGTTTTATAAATTATTTGAAAATTATCTTTTGAACTTTACGGATTGTTATTTACATCGATTATGTTGTTTAATATAAAAAAAAATTTAAAAACTTTTTTGCAAATACATTCCAATTCTTTGTTGCTATCAAAGGCTTTAAAATTGAATGAGACAAAACGGATTGTTTTCCTTATAGGAGGAAAATTGAGTGAAGAAAAATAGAATTTCCTGTTATTATTTATTTATTCTTTTTTTTGTTTTGTAATAAACAACCTTATTAAAACAAGCAATCCTTTTTTTTTATTTTTCAAATTTTTTTTCTTAGTTTTTGTTTGCTTTTTATTTTTTTTTTACTTTTTTTTTTATATGTTTCTAAAGAACAAAATACTCGGTAATAAATTACTTTAGTCCACTAACAATTTTAAATGCTTAGCAACAAAGTATCAGCAAAAAAAAAGAAAAGGAAAAAAAATTGCTTAAACAGTTGTGCATTAACATTTCCTCAAAAATAACTTCCCTTTTGCATGTTCTTCCTCTGTTTTGTCCACTTATCAGTGGTGTTTATTCAA